ACCTGAACTTCAGCAAAAGGTACCGACCTTGTTGATTTTGTTGACACTGTTCACCTTTTACTAATTTATTTCTCGAACTACTCTCGGGTGACTTTTCTTGAAAACGTCGGTGGGTATATATAGCATGCATTTGTTTCGGGTATGTTTCGAACGCTGGTTCACGAAAATCGATCTGTCTGTCTAGCGTCGTAGCCGAGACTTTCACATCACAGGACCATTTTGATGCTAGACGTTTAACAACTGCTGTATTCGCATTCAGGGAGTCAAACTGCAGTCTCGTTCGCTGCGGATGATGGGGCGTGTCTCTGAGGCAAGGTTTGGCGTACCGTCAGCCCTTTCTCCTTTAGTTATTGAAGCGGGCAAGCGACAACGAGTGGTACGATATGTTATAGTCGCCCGCTTCAGCAGCCGGTGAAAAACCGACTTTCGCCACATCAAACTCCACCCTCTTTAGACGCCCCATCATACGCATCAAACAAGACCTCAGTTTCAATGGGCGATTTTTCGGCAAACTGTAGCATAAAGCGTTTTGGCATCAGCGATCGTACGTAAGGTGCGAGAATTTGGTGTCAGAAGGACGGGATATTGTTGTAGTTCAACTGCTTTCGAGGACATTTTTCAAGAACAGTCACCTCTACAGACTAACTTCGATGAAGTTCTTTCTGAGTTTCGAAAAGTAGGAGAATAAGGTGTAAATATTGCAATTTTACTTGGTTTTTACTCGGAGTGTATAGTATTGTTCAGAGCACGGATGCGACAGTAGAACTATCGTCAAGTAAAGAAAATGATAGCAAGAAGAGTACAACGAATTGCTGTGTGATAAGTTTCGCCACGTCGGCTTTAAGGTAGAGTTTTACCTTGGGTCAGTATAATAATTTACATGTTTCCTTGTAATTTGCAATTGCACTCACTATCCAATCTGTTTTGGTAAGATTAATGTGATATTCCAAGAAGATGAACAATTGTTGCAAAATCGGAAATTCATTCGAAACGCCGACTTCTTTTACGAAGGAGTTATATCAGTTACTCCGGGAGGTCACGTGACTTCTGGAACTTTTTGGGTGGCATGGTCCTATCACGAGATGCTTTACCGTGGACTGATAGAGGACAGCGACGACTTGAGCGGTTACAGGGCTGTAGTCAACCGGACATGCTCTCGGTCCGGAGGTATTTTTTCATCGCGTTTACCGGCCCGGTAGTTAAAGGAAAAGGGAGGAGGGAATGAAGGAAGGAAACGAAAGAAGGAAAAAAGAGAGGAGTAGGGAGGCTTCAATGCCGACAAGTATATACTGAGACGCAGCGTCCGCGTCGGCCAAAGAACATTTGGCGGATCAGAGAGAGGTTTTTTAAGGCCGTGAGATCCTAGTGGCGTAAGCGCTTCACCACGGTGGAGAAGTTGAAAAGGAGGTTAACAGGGTCAGAGAATGCCAGACGACGTAGATAAGAGAACACAGACTGAGCAGGAGTTTGGCTCCACTAAAGAAACTGGATTGTAGCTATTTTTGGACCGCCTCGGAGTTTCCATAAGCTTAGGTAAAGATCATTGGCCCAATGCAGTTGGGAAGGCCAGGCTGCGAGAACAGGTACGACCAAGTCGTGCGGTCCTTCTGCGTTTTTATTTCATCGATCAGTGGTCGCATAATTTACCAGATGCGCTATGTGGTTTGGAAGGCCCGCTGTGAGAGTCATTTGGTCGACCCTTTCCACGAGGCTGACTCTAAGAGCGTGATACCTCATGATCCTCTAGGCTTCAAACGCCGTTCCTTTTTCTCATAATTTTCAGCACGAAATTCTATCTTATGAAACAGTACCATTACTTTCTTCACTTAACTTTACTTAGCTATGACATTTTTTAGGAGTGAATTCATTCGTGAGTTTCATGGTCGGCACTGGATGAATAATGAAGGGATGGAAATCCCTCCTCGGTGTTTTGTCACCGCTATAAAACTTGCGAATGTAAGTGAAGCTTTGTATTTACTTGGTTTGAGTGCGAAAATATTTTTCTATTCCAATCGTTCAGGCTTCCGGGGGAACGTCTGATTCTTTAACGAGCGCCGACCTACGTCAATTGATCGAGCTTCGTCCGCCAGCAGTAATGCCTCAAGGCAACGTTGGAACTCCAACGAAATATTTCATGGAGCAGGTGATTATCTCTTACATTTTCGCAACCTTTTGTAAAATCCGCTGCGCTTAATTACTTCTGTTGAAAATCCTCTAGTTAATGTTAAAATTGAAGCGGTTACGAGCTAAAATGCCCTAACATCGGTCTTCTAATCGAACTATGGTTTCCCATTTCGTGACAGGCGCACTTTTAGCCGTGATCCTGCCCGCAGGGGGTGCGTGCAGCAGAGCAGAGCGAGGGTAGGCGGGAGGCTCTAAAGCTTTGACTTATACGAAAGTGGAAACTTGGTAAACACGTGAATTACTTTTCACCTTAAAGGCGTTCCCGCGACCTGCAGTTATCAATATAATTACAAGTTCAAAAATACAGAATTGGTTTGACCTACTGAAGAATACTGAAGTTCAAAAAACCGCCCGCAATAAGACCCTCTTTATTGCAATGGATCGTGATCACCGGACGAGCATAAGACGGTCAAGATCGATTGTGAATTGCAAAAGACGAACGCATACACCTGTTGATGAGAGGAGAGAGACAGAAATGGCGGGCGAGAGAGCACAATGGCATCGTCACGATGACACGGGTATCGGAGGTCGGCATGGGCCTATTGGGCGCCAATGGGCCTAAAACCTTTGCGCTTTGCGCTCTACTTGCTAGTTTTCGACTTTTGCCAGCACAGCTTACAAGACCAGTACTGGGCGGCGTACCTGCCTGTTCGTCGTACACATTTCGAAGCAGCAACTTAGCCTTATTTTATCGCGGACCGTGCCTTTAATGAGGGAGGGGGAGGGGATTGTGATGGGTGAGCCATTTTTGTGTAAAGTGAAATGTGCTAGGCTTTGCGATCTCGGCAGGATCTCGTTTTGCAGGAATAAAATGAGCAGGTTTCGACAGCTTGTGGATGAGCTTGCCGCGGCATTGGTCGGTACGGTGTTTCCCATGAATTTTTCTGCGTTTTCCTCGCCTGGAAAGTCGCTCGACGACTTAAGGTTCCTTACTGTACGTCACTACCCACACTGTGCAATCGGGGCATTTAACTTAAACTTTGCCTACCATTCATGTTACCTTGCACGAAACCATGATTGATGTGTCCTCATCTCTGTCCAGTCTGGCACGGTTCTCGGAAAAGGGCCTGTGGACAAATAAGCTCACTCCGGTTGACTACGTCGGTTTCATTTCTTTCTCTATTTTTCTATGCGCGGTTTTCCATAACCGTTTTGCCCGAACAGATTTTAGCTTTTCGTAAGATATTTGGTCCAAACACTGGAGTGCCTTCCTTTGAAGAATCCCATCCTCAGGCTCGCCACATGTTTTTTGCACCTTTTATGGCTTCAATATATCTGTATGCGTGACAGGGATTTGAAGTTATTCGTTTAAAGCCATGCCTCGCGATTTAGGAGACTCGGGCTTTTTCAAAGTTCATGTTTAGATTCGGTTGTGTCGCCTACCAGTTTCTCTCATCCCCAAGTTGGGTTTGAAAACAACACGAAGAAAAAGGAAATATGATTCAGTGGAGTTTCATTACTCCTCAAACGAGGACGAATACGACGAAAACAACTCTGAAACAGGTGTGTTTCCTTTTTTTCTAGATTTTTGAAGAAA